GCCATAGTGTTACAGATTATAGCTTAACACATTTCTGCTGTTGCTGATGGCCAACAGCACCTCATGAATACCCTTTTTTTTTGATCTGTTCTAAATCTATCCCATTAAAGTGGTAGCACCACACAACATAATGTAGAGCATCCGTCATGTGAAGACGAGATTTTGTCTGCAAAAGGACTGTGTGGTGGTCACTCGTATCACTACTGTCAAGGACAGATGCACCTGTAACAGATAGACTGATGAGGATGATGTCAAGTATGTTATCTCGGCTTTCACACCACTTGCTGCCAACCCACTCCAGCTGCTATTCCCTACCGCTCTCAATCAGGTCCATCAGAGGTGGCACTACCAAACTCATTCTTCGTGATAAACATGGAAATCCATCATCCTGAGTACATCCTGTGCTCTTGCCATTCTCAATGCTTCTTCCAATTGGTGTTCAAAAGAGAGGAAAACTGATTCATCTGCTGTGGAGGGTGAATGGGGAGGGAGGTGGTAAATGGCAATCAGCATTTGACATGTTTGACTAGAAGCCATGAGATTTCATGGCATCTGAAGTCAATGTTGAGGACTTCCAGGAAAACTGATTACCACTGTGCTGCCTTTTCTGGTGGGCCTGTCCAGGCCGTAGGGTAGGACATACCCAGAGATGATATGTTCAGGACCTGGTGTTTGAACTGGCTTTAGATCTATAATCTCTACAGTTAAGTAGCTTGCTATCAATCATCATCTAGGCTCATACGTGAATGTAAGATTCTTTGGTAAGGTAGAAGAGTGATCCTGACAGGTGAAACTGTAACGTGGCAAACTTCATTAAAACATAGTTTCAGTAAAAGAGAAGAAAATGAGACCAAGTCTATATAAGACTGTGTTAAGACATTATCACAAACTGAGTGATTGAAAGAATTAAGAACTGCACCAGTGGGGCAAATGTGAAGTCAGAAACTGTATCCAGAGAAATGACTGCAGGAAATGAGAGTATCCCTGAGAGAAAGTGCAGTATTGTAGCTTACTCAAGGGAAATAAAAATGCTGTAGCTCAGCAGTGCAGAATATGATAGCAAAGCACTATAGGAAATGAGAGCATTGCAATTAGTTGCTAAAGGAAGCAAGCACAGTAAATCACCTCCGTAATTAGTGCATTGCTCAGCCTTGTTTCATCATTAACCATGTGCCATTTCTTGTCTGTCATGTCTTCTGATTCAATTAGTTTGTGGAGGCTTTTCTCCCCCACAAACTACAACTCATCCAAAATGCTGGGTACTTACAGGAATGCCTACAGGAATCTCCATTCTCCACCAGGTTGCAACCTAACTATTTGACTTAATGGTCATTGTCCAAACTTTCAAGTGCCTCCATCAACTTGCCCCACACTATGTCAGCAACCATAGGCCTCACATACAAACAGAGCACCTTTAAACAAGGATCCTTCCCTCTCCCTCCTATACCATTCATTAATTTAACTTTACATTGAACCTAAAAAGCTGCTATTAAATAGTTGAGGGGGTTGGGGAGGGGGGATGGCGCGGCAGGGTTGGGAGACAGAGAATTAGGAAAATGGTACAACCACCAAGAGGGTGACCCGTTGGCAATGTTTCAACTTACAGCTGCTGGTGTCCTTTCATCAAAAGAATCTGATGAATTTGAATTGTTGTAAGAATTACCCCGAAAATGCACAAGGCTATTTAGATCAATGTTATGTTCTGTAGGCGAGATATTTCCACCAGTGTAAATTGCAGGGCAGCTTGTTTATGCATCCATGGCTTCCAAATGACAACTCAAGTATTACACAGAAGAACTGCACCAAGGCTGTAGGAGGGGCGGGATGGCTATGTTAGGCTGGAGTTTGCGGGGAGGTGAATAAGATTTGGTGGTCAAGGAATTAGGGTTTGTTGGTGGTCAAGGAATTAGGGTTTGGGAAGATAGGCTAGGTACGAGTTGGAGGGTTAGAAAAGAGGATTGCTGCCTTTAAACAGCTATGAATGCCTAAAGATTACAGCATCACAACAGTAGATCAAATGCATCAGATGTCTGCTGCCAAGGAGTTGATTTGTAAAATGGAATAGTGGTCTGCACTTATGTTGGGCTGAGGAATGTGAATAAATCTATGTGGATGACAAACCAGATCCCATTTCTTCCTTTAGAAGATACTTACAACGCAAGTACAATACTCCCAGACTCATTAGCTGCATTATGAAGCTAAAAAAGGGTGACTTATTGTTTAATATTTTCCCATTTCTAGATCTGACCTTATTAAGTAAACATTGACCATGCTTTGAATTTAATCTTTAGGTCAGTTTGCCATCTTTTTACCGTGTTTTTATTTACCTTGGATTTAACTAAAATTATATTTCTAAAACATTTGAGCAATAAGATTATATATTCATACCATGGGCCATATGGCTGATAGAAAGATTGGCCAGGCACAACTCAATATCTAGAAAAACAGCCAACAGTAGGCAATGTATATCCTCTAATGTCATGCCTCATTTATGTAATAAATCCTATTGTAATGGTTCTCTAAATCACAAATGCAAGATAAAGCATAAATGAAACTGAGGCAGACCATATCCTACTTTAAAATTCACCTTCAAAGATGAATATAGTCATTTTACATCAGAAATTGTCATGTAATTTAAGACCATTACTGAGAGGCTCAAGATAAATGTCCTAAATACAAACCAGACTGTTAAAGATATACATGGTCCTTATAAAGTAAAATGCATCAAGAGAGCAAAATCTTTCTCAAACTTTCATGGAGAGAAAGACGACAAACCCGAAGTTTCAAAATCAGAAAAAGGCAAATAAATGTTTGTTTATAAACTTGACTTGAAGATATTTGATACATATTCAAAATGTAATTCTCTCCATCTACAGTAGCACATTTTCAAACATTGTGGGCTTTAAAATTAGGACAAGAAGCAGAAGATTGGCTAATGTCACATTGAAACAAATGTCTTATTATTAGGTCCCCTGTTTTGTGGTCCTGGTCAGCCTAGGAAAATGTGTGGGTCAAGTTAAATAGCTCTCAGTTAGTGATCCAGCTCTCATTCAGTTCTATCACTTTCATTTGTAAAGTAAATGAACATTACATACCAAACCACAGACATGCTTTATGATCTGTCAGAAGTTACAAAAATGAATTGTTTTGCAACAAAAAAGTGAATGAATGCATGGATTCTTTCAACTTTTGAGAAGGAGTAAGTAGGTTTTTTGGAGTAGTACATTTAATTTGTAATTACATTTATAGTAGGCATGCTATAGGGGCACCAAAATGGAAGAAAGAGTAAAGGAGATGCTCTTCTCCATTCCTGCTTAAATTAATAGTATTGAGAGAAACTAGTAAAGGCTACTGCAAAGGTGAAAAGCAGAAGATGAAAAAACTCGGAGCAGGATTAAGCTAGGATGTTCTCTTACAGCTTATGACAAATCTTAAATATAAGTCTAAGAAGTAGATAATGAAGCCAGATTTCAAAGTGTGTATGCTTGCATGAGAGAAAGGACAAATGCAAGAATTAAACTATCCTGTAGGGCATCACACAGGGATGAGTGTTAGATTGAGAGAGAAGAAAGACCTAATTGCAGCTGTCAGAGTAGGATTATGATTCCACATGATCACTATCATTCGAGTGATGTTATATTTATATTTCAGCACAATCACCAGTGTCATCTCTAACTTTAGCAGCAGCATTGAACTATAAATGAACCAGAAATGGTGCTTCAGGCAGCATCCATCACAAAATTCTCTATGTGCTGTCAGAAGCCAATATAAAAATCTGCTGCAACTAGATATGCATATGATGTTGGCGTATTTTTGATGCAACTGTATAATTTATACAGATCTTCACTTAGAATGTATGGCTTGAAACCAAAATTGCAGTCAAAACTATGCAAGAATTACATAGATGTGGCTGTTTATGATGGCACTCATTCTAAGAGCTCTACCCCATAATATAAATAGCATGGACAGTCCAGCAACTGAAGGACCTTGCTGCAAGAGAAGTTTCAAAGAGTCCTATATTATAATTGCAATATCCATGGCTTCTCCAGGAACAGAGTCTGAGGCCTGGAATCTGCAGTAAGAGTAAAAGGGAAACTGTCAGCATTCTCTGTTGTTACTGTGTAACAACTTCTGGCAGCCACACAATGCAGATAAATGTGAAAAATCTATCAATGCCATTAGAGCTACCCTGCTCATCCAAAGGCTGTGTTATTGTACTCTTCATGAATGCGGTGATTAGAAATCACTAATTTGTCATAAGCTTCAATAATTTATATAAAACACATGCTGTTAAAAAACATTGAAAATGTTAATTACTCCCGATGGAACAGGACTTGAATATTTAAAGGCATGCCAAGTCATACTTATTGCTGAATAACTCTCTGGCCCTGAGAAACTATTTTTACACATGTGGAGGTTCATTTCCTTAGAACGTTTTAAAATTGCAGAATTTTAATGAAGCATTTAGTTTAGGTTTTTACTAATATTTGTTTCCCACTTAGCTGCATGTGTGTGCCTCAATCTTTATTTAACTTTCCACACAATGGTTTAAATATAACTTATCTATCCTGTTCTTTAATTGTTTCTTTACTGTTTGTGAGAATACTTCAATCTGATTGGCTGATCGCTCTGCCACCTACCACCACCAATTCCCTGTAGTTGGCATAACTTGAAACTAACATGAGAGAAGAGAAAAACTACTCCAAGACCACACGACTTTTGTGGATCAGTTTTAATGGAGGTCAGTGGCTATTGCTCTCTTACTGCTGATTGCAATCTGTGAACTATATAATCCGAGGCCTCTGTCACAGATACAAACAATCACATAGTCTACTTATTGCCTTATCTTTGAAACTAAATAAATCATTCTTGGTCTATAGGTATGGTATCAGATTGATCTCCACAAAAGCTAAGCAGTGAACCCATTGTCAGATGAACCTATTAACTTGTTTCTGTAGTTCTTTACCAAATCTGTTTCAGAACCAAAGTAAACAGCAGAATTTTAAAGTGGTCCTCTTGTTTATTCTTGATTTAACAGTGAGGCTACATTTGGAGTGTGAATGATTCTCTGATTTGATTCTATGTTATGAAGTTTACCTCACATAAAACAATCACCAATATCATTGCTAAAAAAACACAAAAAAACTCACAATTATAAAATTAAAATAAACTTTGTATGAAGTCCCACGTGAGCTTCCACAATTTTCTGGGATTACAATCATTTTAACAGGTGCTTAAGGTTGATCAGGATGTACTTGTCTTTTGCCAAAGTCTTTCAAAACTCACCATTGAAATGGCACGCTGATCTTTACATTTTCTTAAAATGTTGCTGGTACTGTTTTTAACGAAATATTGAGTACAAAATGACGTACATAGTTAGTATCTTGTACATTAACATAAAGTGATAAGCAAAGGATTATTTCTCTAATTATGTCTACACCATCAACAGCAGCTGATCTGAATGGCAGCAATGATTTGCAAATAAAACGTCATTCAAACATACATCATATCTTGCAATGATGCAAGTTTCCAAGTTCTGGTCTGGATTTAGAAAAAAAGAATTCGAAGCATCTTCTGTTCTAGAGCACAGTTTAGACTGTTCAGTGGCCAAAAACATGACTGGTTAATTTACATTAATTTATTCCATCTTGTGGGCCCACTTCATGTCATCAGTCCTTGGCTTATGTCCAGTTAGGTTTGTTATGACATATTCAGAGTTCCGCCAAAATCCAATCTTTTCCAGAAGGTAGTTAAGCCATCCTGAGTACAACAAAGAATATTTCCATTTCAGATTGTGCAGCCTTAAAATGTCATAAACCTTTAGGTGACTTCATACCCTAGACAAATGTAATTCATTTTCCTCATTCTAGACTATTCTGTTCCATTACCAATGCTTGTATCATTAATAGGATCCTTTAAAGATTCAGCTAATTTAACCAGTTATTTTTTGCATCATATGTATATTTCAGGATCAGGAAACTTAGGTAATGTGTGTAATTTTATTTCAATTTCCCAAGATTGATCAAAAGCCCAAACACACAGTCAATAAAAGTTTACTTTCAAGAAAGCCTGGTAGTCCAGCTGAAAGTGTGGATAAGACAGTGTAGGCTAACAGGGATGTGGCCAGTGATTGAGACATTTTTCAGTACAGGATATAGAAGGCTATATTTTGGAGAAGTTGGAGTTGCTGGTAATTACACATATTCCATAAGCCCTCAGATGATTTTTTTTAATGGAATCTGAACATAGTTTGCCCACCTTTAAGGTGAGGAGTAAGTGGTTAGAGGAAATCTGAGGAACGTATTTTTTTACCCGGAGGGTAGTAGTTAATATGAAACGTGCTGCCTGAGAGGGTGGTGGAGGCAAATACTCTCACAAGATTTAAGAAGCATCTGGATGAGCATTTAAAATGCCAGGGCATGGTTGGCAATGGACAGAGTGCAGACAAATGAGGTTGGTGTAGTTTGGTGCTTGTTGGTCAGCATAGACACGGTGGGCTGAAGGACCTGTTTCTATGCTATATGACTCTATGACTTGATTTAGTTTTATGAGGAAATACCCAAAAAGATTGATGAGGGAAGAGCAATAGATGTTGTTTATATGGACTTTAGGAAAGCCTTTGACAAGGTTCCTCATGATAGACTAATTAGTAAAGTTAGATCACAGGGATTCAGGGTGAGCTTGCCAATTGGACACAAAGTTGGCTTGACGGTAGGAGACAGAGGGTGGTGGTTGAGGATTGTTTTTCGGATTGGAGGCCTGTGACCAGCTGTGTTCCACAGGGATTGGTACTGAGTCCACTTTTGTTTGTCACTTACATAAATGATTTGGATGAGAATATAGGAAGCATGGTTAGTAAGTTTGCAAAAGACACCAATATTAGTGGTATAGTGGACAGTGAAGAAGTTTATCTAAGATTATAAAGAGATATTGATAAATTGAAAATGGGCTGAGAAGTGGCAGGTAGAGTTTACCATGAATAAATGCGCTTTGGTAAAACAAACTAAGGCAGGACTTATACAATTAATGGTAGGGCCCTGGATAATGTTGTGGAACAGAGAGACCGAGGGGTTCGGGCACATAATTCTTTGAAATTTGCGTCACAGGTAGACAGGGTGGTTAAGAGGGCATGTAACACACTTGCCCTCATTGCTCAGACCATTGAGTATAGGACATCATGGTGAGGTTGTACAGGACATTGGCAAGGCCTCCTCTGGAGTACAGTGTGCAGTTCTGGTTGGCCTGCGAGAGGAAGGATATTATTAAATTGAAGAGGGTTCAGAAAAGATTTACGAGGACGTTGCCAGGATTGGAGGGTATGAGTTATAAAAATAGGCTGGAACATTTGTCCACTGGAGTGTAGGAGGTTGAGGGTGACTTTATAAGAGGCTTATAAAAGCATGAATGGCACAGAGAAGGTGAATAGCAAGGGCCTTTTCCCGAGAGTGGGAGGTTCAAAACTACGGGGGATATTATTAAGGTGAGAGAAGAAAGTTTTAAAAAGGACATGGGGGTGACATTTTTTTTCTTTACAGGGAGTGGTTCGTGTATGGAATGAACTGTCAGAGGAAGTGCTGGATGCAGGTATTGTTATAACGTTGAAAAGACATTTGGATAAATACATGAATAGGAAAGGTTTGGAGGGATATGGGCCAAATTCAGGCAAGTGGGACTAATTCAGTTTGGGAATGTGGTCGGCATGAATGTGGTTGGTCTGAAGGGTCTGTTTCCATGCTGTATGACTCTATGACTAAATAATCCAGAATACCAGGATTGAGCAAAACTGAAAGAAAGAGATATTGTCTGAACTAATAGGTTTAAAGAAGAATCAGATTCAATTTTAACTTGGGATAGGTTCAGTGAACTAATAAAGCTCAGAGAAATTTTACATATTTACATTTGTAAGTTTGACATCCCGCAGAAATCATTGGTGGACATGATCAGGAATTTAAGTAGGTCAGAATCAATATCAAAGTAAATCATTGTGTACTGTAAATGGCATTAATTATCACCATGTGGCGATGCTGGTGTTGGACTAGGATGGACAAAATCAGAAGTCACACAATATCAGGTTATAGTCCCAACAGGTTTAATTAAAATCACAAGCTTTCAGAGCACTGCTCCTTCGTCAGGTGAAGATATTAATTATCACGATTTGTTTTAATTAATTCATAGGTTGTGTGTGTAACCACCTGACCCAGCATTTATTGCTAATCCCTAACTGCACAGAGGATAGTTGGAGTCAATACCATTCCATTAGGTCTATAGAATTGGATGGAGTGCAGGTTTGAAGAAGATACAGATGTACAACTACATATATGTTGATTGGAATATAAATTGGAAAACAGAAGTTTGGACTGCTGTGTGGAAGGGAAAGAACCAGTTTTCTATATATCTCAAAGCAAAAGTGGAAAATATGGTACTCACTCATTGGTTAGATAACAATATGTAACTTTTGGAAGAAACGGGATGTGATACTTTAGTGAGACTAGCTGACATCAAATGCCTTGGGCTTTTAGATTGGTTTTAAGTAGTATTTTGTCACAGAACTGAGTGGAAAGACTGTAGTTGGACTCTCAGATTTCCAAAAACCTAGAAGTGAGCCAGCTCCGTCCACCTGCCACTGTAAGTAGAAAGAAATCACACTAAAATGCCTCAATAAAGTGGAAAATTTTGAAATTAAGCCAAGACATAGGTCCAACTGACCAGATACTAAATTGAGGATCGCGGAGGTCACAAACAATATTACATCATTGCAAAAATCAAAAAAAACTGAGAATGTCAACACTGTTTCCTGCCGGTGTGGCTTCTCGATCCACAGACTTTGATTCTTTTTTGCTTACATCTTCTAACCATAATATTCCTGAAAACCATTTCTTTCGCCTATTTTGTCCAACCATTTTACTAATGAATGCGCACGGGCGGATTTAAATTCATATAGTTGAAGTTTGCGTATTCACAATCAATAATCCATTTTTGCCTCATTAGGGGATAGGTTGTTTTCATGAAAAATTTTTTTGTGTTAATTGAAGAAACCTAGTATGACTTTCTTTTAACTTAGAGAGTGGACAAAGGCTACTTAACCATCTCTGTAACTAAGTTGCTGGTATTTTACATTTACGAAAACTCTGCGAACAGTGGGGTTTGCTTACCAGCACCATCTTCCCATCAGGGTTGTGACATTGATTCCTTAGTGAACTAGGGTAATGTGGCCCTGGGTGTCAGAAAGTACAAAATTTTATAACCTATTTTGAAGTCCTCTCCTTAATTTAAAGTGCAATGTGACATATTGCTCTGCACGGGTTGTATCTCAGAATGACAAGTTATTTTCTTCATCCAAATGTTTTAGCATTAAGAATGCACTATTATTTATCAGTTTAAATTGCACTCTTATGATGTCAGTGAATTACTTTATCTGAACACATGCTGGTCAGTTGCATTCTACTCACTCTCCATCATCTTTTAATGATGCATAATCAAGGGTCAAGTGGACTGTAACAACTAAATTTTAGATCTTAACTGTCTAGATTAATGCTCAATTTCAAATGCTAAGTCACAGGACATGCCAAAATGCTGGGAAATACATCAAAAACAGTCAAAAATCTAAATTTGCTGGGGCGGGGCTGGGGGGAGTGGGAATCATAACACCATAGACTCCTCGGAAGAAAATTACACATCATCAGATCTTATTTCCCATTTTAAACAATCAAAACTTAAAATTATGTACTTCATGTTTTTCCCATAAAACAAAAAGCTGACAAAATATGATGAATAACTGTAGCTTGTGTCATGGAAAGTTCAGGACCCACTGCAGTCTCATTCTAAGTATGGCTTTTCTATGTATTGAGATTTCCAAGTGCGGGAATGAAAGAAAGAACAAGAATTGACTAGAACACATATCAAGGGTTTTAAGCAGGTAAAGGGCAGGGCGTCACATGTGGGAAAGATCTGATAATGTCAGGACATTAAAAAAATACAATTCCCTGTAACCAGTTTGCAAGGAATGCTTGAATGGCTTAAAAAAAAAGTGGATCAATATTGCATCTTTCTATGGTGTTACACACTGATATTCTAAAGTACTGTTCTACCATACAGCCTAAATAGCTCGAGTCAATAGCATCATTCACATACTAAACGTATACGTACAGGAAAAAAAACACCCAAGATTTCACTAAATTACAACCATTACAAAAAACAGGATTGTCCAGACATAATTTGCCTCAATCTGTTCTTGTGGGAGAGAAATATGACATATTAAGCAAGATCCAAAAATGGATTTCACAGACACAACAGATCATAAAAAGAATGATAAAAGCATAAATTTCATTATGTGTTGTCATCACAGTAAAAGGACAATGACAGTTTTGCTAAGATTCAACATCTGGTAGATAAGGTCTTAAGCAGAGAAACCAAAAGCTCACCAGCCTTATCAATTAAATTTCAAGCGCTAAAAATACTTTCCTTACCAATGGCTATAATTCTCAGCAGCAACATAAACATCTTCCAATTCATTCTGTTTAAAACAGACAAATATTATCTGCTTTCTTCAGAGATTGAGATATTTGGAAAACTAGGCAATTTTATGGATGACAAAAATTGAAAATACTGTTGTTTAATTTGCCAAAACAGTGAAAATGAGAAGTGTTGATTCTCAATGGCCCTGATAATGGTTCTGCATTGATATACCTAAAATCATAAGTAAATGAGCCCAAGCTGTATTTTAATTTGGTCTCTAATAATTACCAATCCTTGAAATAGTGAAATCCAGTTTTTAACTTACATTTCAACATATTGTAACTGAATAAAAGAAAAATGTAAAACATGCCCTTTTTTTCGACAGAATAGGCATTTTAAAATGCTGTAGCTAAGAAACAGTGTTTCAAGGCTACCTCAAAACCCTGATTGATCCCTGTGCAGCCAATTTTTCTTATTTTTTTTTGCTGGTTCTGTTTTATTCAGGTCTATTTGTTACTACTGACAGAGGGTTATTAATAATTTGATGTGGAGAGTGTTGCTTACTGAGAACTGAGAGCGCATCATTCCTAAGAGAAAATAGGACTGTTAGGCCACATTCTCCCTGGAAACAGTTATTCTCCCCTGTGGTTTCTTTGTAAATACACTCATCGTTGGTGTCCTACAAAACAACTCATCATTTTTTCCAATGGCTGTTAGTGAGCCTAGGTTCTGCAACAAGGAGGATGTCTGGGTACTTCTTGTTGTAAAACAAGGGTCTGGCTTCCTCATGCCAGCCTGAAAAACACTATAACTAAAAAAATCAGAATTTGCAATTAGTTAGACTCAGTCCTGAATAAGATGATTGGTTATGTTCCATTTTATTCTCTTGACTGGTTGGGCAATCTTACTGTGCAGAACTAATACACGGAATTTTACCTTTGATGCAGTTTGGGCTGTAACAAAACTATCTTTATCCTTCAAATCTAATGACTCCCCAAAATCTGTTCACCACCAACAAGGCACTAATCAGGACAGTGATGTAATACTCCCCACTTGCGACACTCAAGAAGCTTGACACCATCCAGGACAAAGCAGCCTTGTTGATTGAGCCCACATCCACTCCCTTCTCAACCAATGCTCAATAGCAGTGCACTGTAGAAATTTGCCAAAGATCCCCAGACAGCACCTTCCAAACCCACCACCACTTCCATACAGAAGGATAAGGGCAGCAGATGCATGGGAACACCACCACCTGCAAGATCCCCTCTAAGCTACTCAACATCCTGACATGGAAATATATTGCCGTTGCTTCAGTGTCGCTGGGTCAAAATCTAGGAATTCTCTCCTTAAGGGTATTGTGGGTTAACTTACTGCACAGGGACTGCAGCTCATCAACATCTTCTCAAGGCAACTAGGTATAGGCAATAAATGCTGGTCAGCCAGCGATGCCCATGTCCCATAATTGAATAAAAACAAATACAACAATTGACTAGTCAGGGACTGGGGACACCCCAAGTTGCTACACTACACCATTTGTGTGAACCATATCTCATCCTAAGAAAGATGAAATTCAGCAACGGTCCATCTAGCTTGGATAATGAAGGATTACTTCACATACAAAGACGACAAGTGATCAATCCCGTTATACGGACCATTTTACCTCAAGTGGGAACTAGACTAGAAATACTGTTTTTCATTTTTAGGACAAAATCAGCCCCTTTTCATTTATATGATTGTAAGCCTCAGGCTGCTAACTGTTTTTGGACTTGAATTTCCATCAACGGATGACAAAGGCATCGCTGGCATCTAAATTCTCTCAGTAATATCTCACAGCCAGATATGACTGCAAAAAAACAGTAGGCAGCTATTCACATCTCTCCAGTGCAGGATAGGGCAGATACCCCTTTTACAGTCATTGCATGCAGGAATAAAGATCCATGGGTGAATTTTCTAATTTGTCCTATAGGTCTCATATCAACATCAGTGTTTAGCAAACCGAATGTTTACATTAGCAAGACAGTTTGACTTTTGGGCAAGATAACATTTATGGATTAAATACTGTACTGTTGAAGTGTTCATTACCTTTACTGTTCAGTAATTTGCTAATGTAGTTATTATTTTAACTAAACAGATTTTAGCTCAAGGATTAAGATTTAAGTAGTTTGTTGACAGGACAATTTGTTAAACAAAAACCGAAGGAACTGCAGATGCTGTAAATCAGAAACAAAAACAGAAATTGCTGGAAAAGCTCAGCAGGTCCGGCAGCATCTGTAGAATTTCTGTTTTTCTCGCACAATTTGCTACCTCTGTTCTTGGATTTTCCTAGTAGCATTTACAACTCTCATTCACAACTACCTGTGGTAATGCAGAAGTAAGTTTCATGAGGGGCAACATGATGGATTCGATGATGCTTTCTGGGCAGAATGATGTGAAGGTCCTGCAAGATGGTGACCCAACGAGGCAGACCAAAGTATGTGTGGGACCATTTGTGAATCTGATTGGTCATTGTCACAAATATGCCTAAACAGAAGATATAGCAGTCCCAGGCATAAGCTTCATAGATAGCTTCTGCAAAAGAAAACAAAGAAGGATTCAAATCAAACTCCACCGTATGACACTCAAACCTTTGCCAACATGGTTTAAACAAATTTCCTTTTGGTTAATAATTGGAATTAAAAAATCAACTTTTCTCCTGGTATTATCTTTCATGAGATATGCATGAACTCCAAACCTACCTTCTCCATTTTACCAAAGTCAACGGAAGTATATTATGGAGTAAAATGAGGCAGAATCACACGGTCCGGAAAAAAACTTGTTATGAACACCAGTAATTCCTTTCATTTCCTAGGTACGATTTTCCTTGATATAGTTATGCTGTTTCCTCCTCAAATATATACAGCAGTCTTTACTTCCTTCTTCATGTTCTCAAACAAGACAAAATGGAAAAAGGCACATGTATGTTTCCTTTTTAAAAACTGCATGTGTTTAAAAGAAAAGGACTCCTGGACCATCCATATTATTCAGACTTCTTAGAAAGTGTTGCATTACTATCTTGGAGTCCAGGTCATAAATTTCAAGATGTCATACTCTTTGTTCTGTCAGTGATGTTGAATCCATAATTCAAAATTTATTCTGCAATTCAGAAATCAAGGGTTTTTGGCCCAAAAATCAGAATCATAGATTTGAATCAACCATTCATTAGTGTTGGAGGAATTAATATTCAGTCTATTTTATCAAAGGGCCAAAGCGAAAAATGCATGGTTGCACAATGGTGTGTATTACTATTACCTGAAGTGATGAATTCCTTTCTCAGCAACAGCACTTTCCCTGTCAGGAGAGTCTACACGAAGAGAAGAAAAAGGTTGCTGACCTGCGCAGTGTTTTGGGATGAAAGCAGTTTGGTTTCAAAGGCGTACTTCATCAACTGTTTATATGGTTAACCTACTGAGTACCACACGTCCTTTGTAGTCTTCAACATTCCCAAATGTTTTGTGGCCAGGCAACATATGAGAGTGAGAGTTGCTGCAATTTTCAAACATTTTATATAAAAGTTCTGGGCTATAAAAATCTGTAGAAATATACACATTTTTAAGAATCCAACCAAAATAATACTTTCAAGTATGGATGGCAAGGTGTCAAATCCTAATTTGGTAGTTAATGACTTAAAATACCAATGAATATTGTTCTTGTTCTTGTTGCAAACAAATTGAATACTTGAGGATATCTTTTCCTCACTAAAATTTTCAACAGTTGCCACATCAATCTGTGGTTGAATCACAGTGGCGTCACGATATTTGGTTTGAGTGTTTGTAACAGGTTTAACACCCTTGAAACATCTAAGTGAATGTGTGGAGATAACTATCCTAAGGCATTTTTGCTCACGAACAGATCCACCACAGACTCAATACAACTGCAAACTGGGGTCAAGCAGGGCTCTTTCATTGCACCACTGCTCCTCTCCATCTTCCTCGCCGCAACACTCCACACCCATCTCCATGACATTCCCCACTGAAGTTGAGCCAACCCATAGGACAAGTGGGAAACCGTTCAACATTTGACACCTTCAAGCCTGAACCAACTTCCATCATTGAGCTGCAGTACACAGATGATGTTTACGTGTATGCACTCTCAGAAGATGCATTCACCAAGAGAATGGGCTTCAGATTAAACATCCAGATAACAAAAGCTCTCTCCCAGCCCACTCCTGCCACACAACACTGCACCCAAATCATCACAATCCACAGTGAAGCCCTGGGCAGCGTGGGCCATTTCCCATATCTCGGGAGCCTCTCTTCAGTGTGAGCTACCATTGGTAATGAAATCCAACACTGATTCCAAAGCATCAATGCAGTCTATAGGTTTGAAGTCCAAGACCTCAAACCCAAGCTCATGGTCACCACTCTCTTATATGCATCAAAAATGGAGCGTGTACAGTACACACCTCAAATGCCTGGAGAGTTATCACCAGCACTCCCTTTACAAAATCCTGCAAATCCACTCACAGGATAAATCTACTGACAGTACCACAGCCAGCTTCCTCTCCCAGGCCAATGTCCCCAGTATCAAGCACCACTCACTTACAACCACTTTATCCACATGCCTGACACAAGACTCTCCCAAAAAAGTACTCTACTCCACATTCCGTAATGGTGAGCTTTCACTAGGAGGGCAGAGGAATCACTACACAGACAGCCTGAAAGCCTCCCTAAACAAATGCCACATCCCCACCAACACGTGGAAATCACCTGCCCTAGAAAACACAAACTGGAGAAGAAGCATCTGCGAAGGTGCCAACCACTTTGAGCGTCCCAGAGTGCAGCACATGTAGGCCAAGTGCAAGCAGCGGAAAGAACGTGCAGAATTCGGACCGTTCCACCCACCCACCCACCTCCTGAAACACTATACCTGCCCTAACCATGGCAGAGACTGCAGGTCCAGTATTGACCTACTCAATCACTGCAAAACCTCACCCTCCAGAGTGGAAGCAAGTCCTGAGGAACTGCCAAAGAAGAAATTCTTCTCTGCAGATTGGATTGATGGAAGCTTCAATAGCCCAATTACATAAATAGACAATAAAGCTCAGGATCTGGAGTGTGGAGTGAGAAGTGATAAAACAGAGCACAAGATTATCACTGTTTGAGGATTATGAGGCACTTCTGTAAAACGTTACAATTGTTACAAAATTGTTGGTTATTTAGTAATACTATTTACGTCATAGTTACACTTCTCAAACATTACTTTGGATCACATAGTGCTCAACATTTGTAGAAACAGTCTACTTAACCTGGTCTGGCAGGAATCACACACTATAGTAGCTGCAGAGAAAATTGAGTGTTAAAGAGTTAGTAATTCAAGGTAATTAAACAAGCTTGTGTGCAACCAGATGTTTTAAATTGTGTTTTGTTGAATATGAAAACAGCAATAAGCTAGGAAAATATAAAAGGTTTATTATAATTATGGGAGCTTCCTAAAAGAATTAGAATATGTTAAGAGTTTAAATTTTACCATACAGTTTGGAATATTTAACCAAATAGGCTCTCTGTTTTCATAACTCAGTTATCTTCTTTCAACATCACCTGGAACAAGCATCTCACCAACAGCCTTGGTCAATAAGTGGAATATTGATGTCTGGTGGCTTGAGGAGAATAAATTATCAATTTATAATGTTCACCTGACAGATGTAGAAGAAAGAGAGGTGATCTTATTGAAGCATGTAAGATCCTGACAGGATTTGACAGAAGTGCTGCAGAAATGATGTTTCTCTTTGTGAGACAGGCTAGAATTAGGGGCCACAGTTTAAAAATAAACAAGGGAGATGAGCAGGGTTTTTTTTTCCCTCAGAGGTTCGCAAGTCTTTGGAACTCACTTCCCCAGAAAGTGGCAGAAGTAGAAGTATTGAATATTTTTAGGGTAGACAATTCCTAATTGAAAAAAAGAGTCAAAGTTTTATGGGTGCAGGGAAGAATATGGATTTGAGGCCCCAATCACATCAGCTATGATCTTACTGAATAATGGAGCGAACCAGCCAAGCCAGATGGCCTACTCTTGCTCTTAATTCATAGCTAAGCATCAAATCTAAATCATTAAAAAAAATCAACCTTTGAAAGCAGAATTACTTCCCTTTTAACTCCTCTCAGCAAAGGCTCCCCTTCAAAAAACTCACACAACACCTTCTTGGATGAATAAATAGTTGGTACATATACTACATTAATTAAAAAGAAATGCTTTACAAAGATGAATGATCATTGACAATAAAAATGATAATCAATTAAATTTGCTGCAAGTCAGAAACGATGTTTTTTAAAGCTTAACTGCCAAGAAATCATTAAATTGCCACTAGATGGTGCCATAAAAGAACAATTTGAACATTCTTGGAGCTTGCTTGTGAAAAAGTTGGCCATATATATAAATAACTAACGAAATAAATAAAGTGACATTTATTTATTAATCTTTTAACAATGGAATTCAAAAGAACCATAAGCCAAACCTACAGCCTTTGCCTCTATAGGTATATTACTCATTGAGGCACATTTGTACAGGTCAAATAAAAGAGATACTGCCTATTTTAAATATTTAAGGTAACAAGTAAAACTGTTGAGTTTGAGATATTTCTAGTCAACAGCGTAATACTGCTCTTGCAATTAATCACATAGCAGCAGCTCTACATACCTTCAGATGCTTGCAATACATCTTCTAATATTGAGACCAGACTGGAAACCCAGATATTATTGCAACACATTTCTTGAAATCTGAGAAAAATTCAAATTCCAAAACTGGAAGTAGTTGCACGGCTGCAGTTTTTATGATCCTGCTTTTTTTTTGGGACACGACAGTGAAGTATAATGGGACAAGTATGACCAAAGTGTCACCTTGAATAACATATGGATGCAAGATTAGATTCTCCACTTCCTACAAAATATTCAGGAGATATGAAAGCTAGCTCAGTAACAACAGGATTAATTTAAGGGGCATTGATGAAGTTATGTAGAACGTATCTACAAAACCGAAAGGAGTAAACACAGCTTTCTTACTCCAAAATTGAGTTGACTGGTAAAAGTTCACTGAGTAACAGACATCTGAATTTGGTTTTCATTTCTCATCTTCTTAATCATTGCAACTTTCAGCATTCATCTACCTCCATGTGTCCTCTTTAATTAAGTGTTAGAATTTCTCTCTGCTGCTAATTTTAATAGGTGACATTTTGTCCATATCTGCAATTATCCCACCTAGGAATCAGGCCAACACATTGTAGACATCATTTGAATACCTTGCTCATAGCTAGAGTTCACCTCTTGGTCATGATGGTTTGAACAAGTGTTGAATGCAAGGTAAACAGCTGCTACTGATTTCCTAGAAAATCGTTGTTAATGTCCCCTAACATTAATCAATAAGAGACAAACAAATCACAGGCTTTTCCTGATACTCTGCCCAGACTGACTCAGCGAGTACTATTAGCTAGCACCTAGTGTTGGTACTAACAGTAAATCTGAATGCTCAACACAATTATCATTCATTGCCCATATGAGATTGGTCAGTATTTTAAATGCTGCATTATTTTACATTCAAAC